ATTAAAAATCATTTAAACGTTAAATCAAATAATTTCATCTGGCTGCTCTCTTACTATAATTTTGTACTTGAAATAATTTAGATATCTGTGGGATAGAAGCATCTGTACCTTATCATGTATAACTTTTCCTGATTATTTCTTGAACTGCAGACTAAACATGCGATTCTGACATAAGGCAGCATCACATTTGTATTCCTAGTTTATTCGAATGCCTTCACCAGCTGAACTAATGTCTCATAAAGAACAACTATGACCTCAAGGGAATCTTGTAGGAGGCACTAAACTGTCGAAGGCCAAAAAGAAGTTACAACTATTTATACCAAAATTCCTGATCCTAAGTCATACTATATACATATATCATCCCAACCTTATATTGTATACCAGTCATATATATGTGAAGATTGTTTAAGCAGAAATCCCCACTATCATATTTTAGAACTTTTCAAAATTCCATCATGTTTAATACAAGTTTCAAGAGTATAGGCCCATATAAGTATTATTATTCCGCATAGAAACAATAGCTTGATTACAAGTTCATTGTTGTGTCCTGCCAGCGACCAGCAGAGCTGGCAGCAGATTCAGAAAGTGAGGATGGGGAGGAACATGGGCTAGTCCTGGAGTCTGGGGAAGGCTCTGATGAGGGCTCTGTGACGGAGGCAGAGAGGGGGGCAGAGCTATGTGCCAATTATCAGCTGCCTTCGGAGTCAGACATCAGTGAGGCAGGCGAACACCTGGAGCCTGTTCCCAATATGCGCATGCACAGAGTTGCCAGACAAAGGAAACAGCTAAAGAACGGGGGGGGCAACTTGGGAGTAAGGCCACAGATGTAATGGCCCCTCCCATAGGGAATAAAAGAGTAGCGAAAAGGAGTGGGGTTTGCAGGAGACAATTAGTTCACTAATTGGTTAGTGACTCTCTGAGACTCTTTGCCAAGTTCTGCAGATATCGGCCTGTCAGCTCTCCAAGCCAGATTAGGTGTATGACCGTAAATCCTCCTTTGGAAGATTTTGCCGGCTGAGAATGAGCAGAATTCACTGTAAATTAATAAGAGGAGTTTTTGCTGGGACAAGAAGTTTGTTTCGTGCTCTTGGGATGCCTCGGTCAGAACATTCATGTTTTATAAATGGGTGGCTACATGTGCAAAGACAATCTTACTTGTAGGGACACCGTGTTAAAGGCAGTATTGGGATTCAAATTAACAACTGATTCTTTGCCCTAAAAATTTCTTCCAACAACCAGTTCACCAAACTGCTCAGAAAGTTAACAACTGGTTCTCCTGAAGTGGTACGAACTGGCTGAATCCCACGACTGGAAAGGATAATGGGAATGGCATACCTACTAACAAGCATGACTGTACAAACATGGATATGACTGTACACAAAACTGGGAAATCTGGTTTCCAAACTCCACTTGAACATGAAAGTTACTGGGTGACATTGACTCAATCCTATGTACCCCATCACCTTGATCTCCCTTGTGTCATTACTGTGATAATAGCATGTAATTAATACTCAGAAATGCAAAATAAAAAAAACCTGATTATTTGGAAAATATAGATTATACTTCCGTGGGACTGTTTCGTGAAACTCTTCTAATAAAAAGCTCCCATCATGATAACATTTCTTAAAAGCAGGGAGTCTGACATTTGCTCTTCAGTAAAAGCACAAATCTCCATACACTTAAAATATAAGAAGCTGGAGCTATTTGTTGACAAATGAAAGTAAAAGGGTTGTATAGGTACCTTGTAATGGGAGGGATGGAATCCTTAAAACTTTGTTTTGGCCAGGATCTGTCAAGTTCAGTCTTAAGAGTATTTGAAAGTTGACCTGTCTCCAAAAAATTGGTCATGCTTCTTAGAAATGAGAAAAATGCTAGAAATATGCATAATTCTGCATTAATGGAATGTAAGTGGTTAGAAGTGACCTGGGGGTAATCAAGAATTGTACAGTACTTTCTTTGAAAAGCTGGCTCTTCAGGTGCATGTCTTCTTGAATTGTTACCTGTTTTCTTTCTGGTTTGTGCCACAATAGATGGCCTGGTAAGATGGACAATCTAAGTCCTACCAGGTATGCAACCTAAGTAAGCAGTTTCACATAGATCTGAATTGCTACCATGTCCAGACTAAATTACAAACCATTTTCTTCAGGATAAAAGCAGCCAACCAGAAGCAAAAAATAAATAAATCAGAAAGCTTCAAGTGACATTTTATTCTTCTTAATCCTGTAATTAAAAAGTCAGAAAATATAGTTTGTCGAGTAAGATTAGCTTATTTTTAAGCATAATGCTTTCCTTCCAACAATTACTTTGTTAAGAAGAAGTAAAGAACTGTTATATAAAAAACTCTCTCTGTGAAGGCCCATAATATTGGATCAATATTAAATTGTAGTGTCCAGTGCATAATTCTGTCCATCTTCTCATTCTTGGATAAAAGAATCATAAAATATAATGGCACTCCACCTGTTTATTCTCACTCATTCTTCGCTATATAGCATAACCTATAGGACAGCATTACATTGTATGTCTTATATTGTCTGTCCCTTTATGATTGTATTGTGTGATAAATCAGATGGACTCAGAGTACGAACACTGTAAAAATGAAACTGAACATAGAATTCATGCACTCAGAATCAGAACAGACTATGTCACAAAAAAATGAAATTTACAATGTTTAGTAAATATACAGTATATACATCTTTATTTGAAGGTATTTCAAAAGATACTTTCTTTTGAAGGGATCTTTTGAAAGCACAAGGGTGCCCCTTAGTGGAATTTTAGCTCACAAGTGCAATGCATTCCAAAGCTATTCAGAATTACAGCAGTTCTTCATTTTATTTTATTTTGAGCACTTGAAGAAATCTGCATTCACATTTTCTCCAACTCTATTAATCACATTATAAATTCTTCTTATATTTTTTAAGTCAGTTTAGTTTATTCATTCTTCCGTGTCCACAGTCCATTGGAATAGTTAGGGAACTAAAAAGAGAATATGTTCAACTTTAGTATCAGATTATAATTATGTTAATTGTATTTACCATTTTCATTAAGAGCAAGTATAGAGTGGTTAATAGTTTAAACTTAATGATTTTAAGCCCTCGCCTTGGGTTTGTCAAGTCTTAACCTCATTTCATTTATTTCAATTAGATAATTTCCTTAATAGCTTGTAAGAATATATCTTGGCCTAAGCAAAGCATATGTAAAGGAAAGTAGAGATATTCTTTGGAAGGGAGGTTTTCAAGATTCTGTTTCTATACCCTATAACAACAAAGTAGCATTCCAGAAATCCTTATAGCAGTGGTTCTCAACTGTTTCTTCACTATGGAACCCGTTTAAATACCTTTTATGATGACCACGGACCTCCCAAACTTAACTCAAGATTTAAATCATAACATTTCTTAAGCCATTGCAGACCCCCTGTGATGGCATTGCTGCCCTCCCAGGGTCCCTGAACCATAGGCTGAATCATTGCCTTATGGTATTTGTTTCTTCAGCTGACCTACTTGAAGGACTGGCCTCAACTTTGAAAGCCACCAATCCAATCTTAACATTCCTTTCCAGGATTGGATAATACATTCCATGACATTCTGTTTAGCAACCAAGAGTAATAACCTAAGCTGGATGGCATTAACAATTATTTGGATATACAGTTGTCCTAAAAGACATCCTCAACAATTCCTAATCAAACTGGAGCCACTGTTTGTGGCTGAGATCTAACAAGCTTCAGCCATAGATTATCTATTTTTTAAAATATTTTCTTAATCACTTCAATAAAGAAGTGGAAGGGATGTTTATTTGCAGATGATGCAAAATTAGATGGGATTTTGAGAAATATATTTCAGGGGTACTTGATAGGTTAGACAGGTTGAAAATACTAGAATGAAATAGACAACAGAAACTTATGCGCTTGGAAGACAAAAATTGCATGGATGTCTTATGGACAGAGATACCTGGCTTGGTAATATTATTTATAAAAAAAATATTTTAGTATAGTTGATTGCAAACTGAATATTATTCAGCAGTGTAATATGGTAGCAAAAAAGAAATTTAATTCTATTATATAAAGTATAAAAGTGTAATTTCCAAATAATTGGAATTAACAGTTACAGTATTCTGCATTGGTCAGACTCCATTTAAATGCTGGGTCCATTTCTAGCCACCAGATTTTAATAAGTTTCTGCTACATAGTTTTTCTGAAATGCAGATGAAGATGATTTACAACTAATAACTAATGGTTGAAAGATAACAAAAACTTTGAGCAGTTTGATGATGGAATCCATTATCCAAAAGAATAATGGCTTCTCCCTGAATGTCTTCAAGTGTGGATTCTAGAGTAATCTAGATTTCTGCACCAAGCAAGGGGGTAGGATATGATGGCCTTTCCAACTCTATGATTGTACAACTAACTGGCAAGATATAAATCCAAATCCCTATTCAGACATGGACAAAATCAGGGAAGATTCCTTGTCATTTATGTAGAGTGGTATTCCAGAGAAGCAAGATATGACATAAATGCAATAAATAAAAGTTTTATTACTGTTTGATTTTAAATTCTGGCTTGCTCCCCATAGGAAATACACTTACAAACCTTATCATAATTGTTTTAGTTTTGCTAATTATTAAAATATATGGAACAAATCTAAGGCAGTTTTACTCATCTGATTATAATATATGGTATAATGAATAGTCTTGATTTCAAACCATAGTAATCTAAAGACTTTTTATACAAACAAATGATATATGATTACATTGTGTATAATGCTTCTTAAAGCACTGTTTATAATGAAAAGACACAGGTTATAATTTTGAATTAGTTTGTCAAAATGGTGGCAATGGACTGAGTTCTTCATATCTCCAGGTCTTCTTAATCATGTTCTTGGAAGAAGCCAACGTCAGAGGCTTTAATTTATTTAAGACTTCAGGGTTTGAGAATGCCAGGATAAGAGAAACTGATCATCTCTAAGTAAATGATATACCTTGTAACATACTGTAGTTTTTTATTGCAGAGAGAAAAAGGGACAGACAAAAAAACCCAAAGAGAGAAGAAAACAAAGAAACCAGTCAGGAAAACAGAGGCCAAGAATCCAGAAGGCAGGGCAGAGATCCAGCGAAAAAAAAGAAAATGCAACCGAAGAAGAGAAGCCGCCAGAATAAACAGCAAAAACTAGTTGCCATCAGCACTGCACACTAACCGCCTTACACCACTGTTTAAGACTATTGCTGCTGCTATCACCACCAGACCCCCAGGGTCAGTGTTCCCCAATTATCACCAATAGACAATATTACAAGTTATACTTAAACAACATTCCAGTACTTACTATATTCTTCATGCAGTCACAGTTTAATCGGAAGACTGACATGAAGCAAGATTTTGTTTAGTTTTTTTTTTCTTTAAATGGGATACACACTCAACCTTGTATTATATTCTTCCATGCATCTCTTAAAGATGGTACTGCCTGGTTGATCTTGTCAGGCTTGGAAGCTCAGCAGGGTGCGGCCTGGCTAAGTTCTACAAGATTGGAAAAGTGGTAAGTAAAACTGGGAAGTCATTAAAAAAATCCCAAAAGAAGGAAATGGTAAACCAATTCCATACTCTTGCTGAGGAAGCTACGTGGATGTGTCCCTGAAGTCACCAGGAATCAAGTGGATTCAAAGAGACTAGCTTTTATCTCTAAGGGTCAATTTAGAAGCTTGTATATAATTATCAATATGGTATAAGGTATAACAATATATTGGATGACTACTTTTTCTTCTGTAAAGTATTTTTTCAACTCATTCTTTATGACGCAAAAAATATCTGGTAAAAGATACAGTATCCCTAGGTGCATCATTATAGTATATATGTTGCATAAAGAGAAGGAAGAAGAAAATATTTTAAGAACTGAATATTCAATACTACAGTCTTATCAGAATTACGTTCACTGGATTTTGCCACAGATTCATATTAGATATTCCAGACTGAAGATCTCCAAGATCTGAAGCAAAGGCACAAAAGAAACGGAAGCCTCAGTAAACATATTGCAAATACAAGCTTTAGATAGCACTATTATTTGCAAGATAGCAGAATATTTTCTGTTGGAACCTTGGTAATACAGCTGTTCTATGCTTTATATCATTCTTGTAACTGAAATCTTCCAGTGACTTGACAAATCATAGGGGGGGGGGGGAGCAAAACACTGAGATAATAAAGAACAGAGATGGGAGATCACACAAATTGGACGTTTGCACTGATGACTTTTTCATCCCTCTTGTAATTGAACATTGTCACATAGTCTTCTTTGTAAATGAAGAAAAGTATGCTGTTCTTTAGAAATGTTTTATCTAATAAACTAAGGCCACTTTAACAAATATAAAAGGGGAATATCCAATTAACTCCTCTAGCTGATGTAGTGATGGAATGGCAGAACAGGCACAATGGTGGTTATCATGCTATCAGCAGAGTGGGAAAGAATTCTTTAGGGTTGAACATGGAATAATTATTTGTACACTACATCTGAATTTACAGAGTTTCCACAAGCAGAAGAACAATATCACTCTTTCTTCTTCTTTCACATTCAATGAGTGCCAAGGTTGAGTTTATTCACTATGGACACAAACATGCTCTAACATTTTTCTGGTCTGTTTTCATAACGTGGCCTTTCTCGGTTCCCTCACCCATTCCCAAGGCAGCCTTGAATCATTGTTAATGGTACTCACTAGAGTGTGGTTATCATATATCTCTTATCTTGAAAGGGCTTTGCAGGGGATACAACCTGGCTGAGTATTTTGTCAGCAAGGTGACCCATGTCTGCTTGTTGACCTTAGGCTCATACTAGCATGCATTCTTTCCCTAATTACCAGGAACTGTCTTCAAGGGCTGTTGTGCTTTGGACAGCAGAACAGTCTGGTTCTTTAAAATTGGGTTCCCCACATCCCCATTTCTTCCAGATCTCTGAGCCAATCCGTCATTCAGCTTCTTGGAGCACTCTTAAACAGCAGCTAGCTTATAGTAGTGGCAGGAGGGGAAGTACTGCAGGATAGCTGGCATTGCAGGATAGCTATCTATCTGTGCTGCTTCATGGTGCAGTCCCTCTCATATCTCTGAATTGTCATTCAGGGAGGCTGCTTTAGAACACTTTTTTCTGAGATAATTCAATCTGCCGATGATAGCTCACATGCTATCATCAGTGAACATCTACTAGAACTGAACATGAGTTCAGTTCTTCCAGAATAGCACTAAATCTGTCTCCAGTTTCATTCAGATATGGGTTTAGCAGACAACAGCACTAAACTCATCTCTAAAAAGGAATCTATCTTCTGTCACTTCCTTTTCAAAAGCACAGAGACAAAACACTTAGTAGTCTGACCACTATCAAATTTGCCTCCTTCCCAGTCTTAGCCCACATTGACTTTCACAGGGAATTCCAACAATGCCTGCCTTAATGTGTCTTGTACATTGTGAATAAGTGTCAGCCATCTGAGGTAGATCAGATCAGGAAACAAATCACCACAAGAACACTAGAACTCTATTTTATTTAGACCATAATAATAGAATCTTGAAAGCCTGATATAATTTATCTTTCCTTCCCTCTTATATTGAAGAGTGTCCAGGTAGGCCAGTCCCAAGGTTCTCTCTCAGACGCTACTGTTTATCTGGGCTTTATTCCTGTACAGTAAGGGTAGTTTCATTTGTTGCCATCACACCTGTATCAAAATAGGAATTGCTATTAAGGATGGCAGATTGTATGCCAGTACAAAGACAAATTGTCACACTTCGACCATGAGTAAGAACCCTAAACAAGCTATGGACAGAATAATTCTCAGAATGGAGTTATCACAAATTAGGAAAATTAATTCAATTAATTAATGTTAATACTATTTTATTTTTATTTTGTGAAAGGCCATTTATTTTCCTTCACAAGCTACAGGGCAGCAGATAAGAAATTGTTTTTGAATACAGCAAATCAATTGTGTTCTGACAACTAAAAACTGACCAGGATTTCTCTTGAGCTGGTCAGATTTTGCAGTGTTGTTTAATGAAATGTCAATTGTTCCTTTTTAATCTCACCATATTTTCAATGTATAACAAAAGTAGCACCTACTCATGCTCTAGCCTAAAGCATTCACTTCAAGTTGAAGTACCTTGTTTCAAAAACTATATTACTAACTATCATACAGTTCATTTGGATACCCACATTCCTTTTTCTTCCTACTTCAGTTTAAGTACGAAGGTTAAATAGATTTGGGAATTACCTGATGTTTGGCTTCCATACTATTACACACAAGTAATGTCCTAGTTAAATTAACTTAGTCTTGAAATTGAATGAGTTCACTATGATGATTAGGACTTGACTTTTTCTTATCCTTGCCCTAAAATGGTAAGCTTGAATGAGATTTTATAGCCTGTCTGGATCCCAACATTTATCCACCTGACTCAGAAAATCTTCCCCACCCTTCATTTTCAGTATGTGATTTATGCTTCTCATATAGGAGAAGATACAGTTGCCTTGGCATGAAACTAATGCCTATTATGATTAACAATTTCTAAAAAGAAGTGCAAAGAGATTTCTTACAAATAATATCAACTATCACGCTGCTATTGTCCATGGCTGCATTTGTTAATTAAAAGCAAGGTATCAGGAAACAGAACACTGTTGATTAATGCATGACTTGGGTGCCAAAAAAAATCATGGCATCTTAAATGTCTCAAAGGTGCTTTTTCAAAAGATAACTGGACTATGTTCCTTTCTTGAGGAAGACATTTTGCTTCTCACCCAAGAAACTTCTTCAGTTCCGATTGTCAGGACTGAAGAAGCTCTTGGATGAGAGATGAAATGTCCTCTTCAAGAAAAAAAAACCTAGTCCAGTTGCCTTTTGAAAAAACACCTTTTGAGATCACCATCACCTGGATGACTGAGAATCTCCATAGGCATGTTATCATATAGCACTACCAAAGAGTCTGCATCTCGAGAGAAGTCCCAGCTGCAATATCTGTAATTGGAAAATGGGCATAAAAGTAATATTATTAATATTATAAACATGTATTAAAATCTTAATTTTAATAACTCAATGTTGCTTTTTCATAAGATTTGGCATTTTCTAATAACTAACAATTGTTTGTTGCATCTCACTTATGGCAACTGCGAATTCCCTAGAGTGGAGGCGTGTAATGTATGAACTTGGAAGCTACTGATTTCAACAATAATAAGGAACATTTGTATGTTACAATCCTTTTGTAATTATTTCCCCCACTCAAGGCCACACAGGTAGAACAGCTATGCTATTACTGGCAAGAGGGGAATACCAGTATTTTTAATCCATTTCCTCCATTTTAGTGGGATTTTTAAAAACCTGTATAGGTGTGCTAAAACTGTCAAAGCTGTGCAAACCCTTAGCTACTAATTTGTGATGGCACTACTTGGTTTGTTGTTCAGACTGGGGAGAGGACAGAGTGTTAGAAAGTCCACAAAGCCTACAGTTTCTCCAATCCAAGCTAAAACTGGAAAATTTTAAAACAGTATTAACATCTGTTTCTATATATTTAAAGTGCCAGTTCCACTTTTACAATATTGTATGGGTAAATATAAATATAAATTATTATATGCATCAACATATTTTTCAAATTCTTAATATACTAGGACAATCAAATTTGAAAAACAAAATACCATATGAATTTAATTTTCCAAGGAATATTTTATAAATGGTTGATGTTTGTGCCCACTTTTATCTTTTTATTGTCATTGTATTTTATAATTTTTAACTGACTTGTGGGGACTGGATGAGTGAGTGACTGTGTATGCATGAGGGGACTGGGAGAGCAACCGGGTGCCTCCTCCACTGAGTGCCATTGCAGAAGTGGTAGGGGGCCCAGGCTTATCTCCCGTCTGAGAATGTTTGAGATTAATGGCCTGCCAGAGAGAGAGGAGGCTATGGGGGGGACAGGGTCTACGGGTATGGGAGTGGGCCAGAACATTATGATCACAATGGGTAGGGGCAGGTATGGCGGGAACTTCAGGGCTAGCCATTACCGGGGAAGGAGGGTTCGCTACGTCGCAGCGATCCCTCCTTTCAGCCCTGTTAGTTCCATTCCAAGGCCAGAT